AAATGTATTATATAAAACAGACAGTCCAGTTCCTTGCAGCCCTACAAGTCAGGGAAGCAAATGCTGTGCATGCAAGAAAGAGCAGTGGTGTAAACCTCTTTGAAAACTTCATTTACACAACACTGCCCCCTTCTGTTCTGAATTAGCAAGGACATATGCAGAGGTGTAATTCCAAAAAACAAACCGAACTTAACCCTAAACTCTGAGTATTTGGTTCCAGATCAGCTGGTCAGAGTTGGTTCAATCAGCTCTCGGTATGTTCACTCTGAATTAAGCGTGCACATGATGACCAAGAAAAGCCATGGGAACGGGTAAATAAAGAGAGCAGCCACCAGTGGAGCTAGAAATGTGAAAGTATAACATGAATGCACAGCAGCAGCAGTGAAAGAGCATGAGCTGGAGAAAACAAAGTGCATTTCATTCAGTGTAGTCACAGTCCTAAGGTGCTGAAATTCTACATTCAGTGTGATTGTAACCTCACAGTCCAACTCAGTAATATGACTTTGGTGATTTGCAGTTGAAAAAGCACCTGTTAAAACTGAGTGTAAATTAATATACATTTAGAAAACCTGCTCAACTCTGACAGGAATATATTTAATCAGTCTGACCAGTCAACAAAATGAGTATTCATAGATCAGTGTTTCATGCATCTAAAGCTTCTAACTGGTTTTTTGAATTACAGTGATTATTGTGCTGTAAATGTTTCAGTGTGGGGGAACTGACATCCACAGAGTCACATGATTACAAATTGACAGTATACAGATTTTATTCTGAGCAGAAATGTTTGAATGTAAGGACAGAGATCACATCTCTAACTAACATTAGTAAAACCAGCCTTTGGATCTGGACTGTATATGAATTAGGAAATTAAACATTGAGTCAGACAGCTTCTTCAGGATTGGCAGGAAGCAGCAGACAGGAACATAGGGTGTGTTGACGAAAAGCTGGCAATGAGCAGCACCAGCGTCAGAGTTGAGTCAGAGTTGATCTCTGTTTCTGGAACTGAAAACACAGGGTGAACAAACTCTGGAATACCCCTAAGACTGTAATAATGATTTATAAAAAAAGTGCATAATAGACTATTGATTAAAAAGAAAATGTTAATGATTAATCTGGCAAAACCAAAGCAGACCTTGTTTACACTGATGTATAGCTACAAGGTCACAGTCCTCTTGATCAGTGTGTTTGCTTAAGAATGTTTAGAAAGTTCAATATACTTTTTGTCATTGTCGACCACTTTAAACTGATAATACCGTTGTTTACATTGATAGAGAACCAAGCTTTACCAAAACCACTGCAGAGAAGCATAGGTTACTGTGTGTACATAAATATGTACACAGTAAAGGTGCAGTAGAGCCATTCATTTTGCTATTGTACAAAAAAATCATTTTGCTGCTTTGGTGTTTTTCTTAAAAGTTTGAATAATATTTTTACATAAGTATGATCATAACAGAGCATTGATAAAGCAAACTTAAAAAAGAATTGTAAAACAGTTGTATACAAAACAGTGTGGAAAGTTGTTAGACACCAGGAAAACCAATATGTTCTTTGTCAAAGAGATATTGAAACCATGGGGATAATGATTCAGTCACTACAGAGCTAATTCAGCTATGCTAGATATGATTTCTACACAAGTACCGTAGTGTTAAAAAACAAAATATGGACATAAATACAGGCGACTCCAGGGTCGTGTA